AATGATTCTGTGAGCAATTCAATCTGCCTGCCTGCTTTGCCTGATTTTGGGTAAAAGTTGCTCTTTTTTAAATACAAAATTCAGTATTTACATACTTGGTGTGTTGTGAGTTAATTTTGTGAGTTTGCTTGTAAGCAAATTTTATGTGATAGACTGAGCTAGCTGATGGCAGATAGATTTCTGAATGAATCTGTGATTCTGTGAGCAGAATCCTGCCTGCTTTGCCTGATTTTGGATAAAAGTTGCTCTTTTTAATAAAAAATTCAATATTTATATAAATATTTATATTATTTACATACAAGCCATACCCACACAGTCACATGACCACCAAGCCACATCCACAGATTAGGCCACACCCACAGAACCGGTTAGTGGTCTCTGGGATTTAAAATTATGAGTTTGGTGGTCCCAGAGGTCCAAAAGGTTGGGGACACCTGCTCTACAGATTACTTGCCATGGGAAAGCAGAAGGAGAAAGCAGGCAACTAGAGCAGGGGTCCCCAACCACCAGGCTCCAGACTGGTACCAGTCCATGGATCATTTTGTACCAGGCCACAAAGAATGAATAATCTTGATTAAAATATATATAAAAATATGTTTTTGCTTCCGGGTGTCTTATTTTGAAAGACAACCACTTCCGCCCTCGCCTAACTTCCGCCCTTGACTCTTTGGCGCATATTTATCCTGCATCAGCAATGCAAGCTAGCCCTCGCAAAATGAGCCAGAAACAGAGTTCACTGGAAAGTTTTTTTGGAAAGGGTAAATGAGACAACGATGAGACAGCAGAAGGGTCACAGACTTCCTGGTGAGTTGATATTTTAGTGTAATAGTTCATGAAAGTGCCTAATATAAAATGTAATTGTTGCATTCAGATCACATACTAAATATAATGATTAAGGTTTTTGTTATTGGAACCTTCACACCCCTACCCGGTCCTTGAAAAAGTGTTTCTGCGTGAAACTGGTCCCTGGTACAAAAAAGGTTGGGGACCACTGAACTAGAGGACCTGAACAATGAGGTGTCCTACATCAAAACAATTAAAATATTATATTGTAGATTGGTGCAGAGGGGTTAATACGAAATTCAATTTATTGGGGGGCGGGAATAGCATGGTTTGCTACAGCAATCTGTTTCAGCCCAATTGGCCTCTTGAAATTAAGTATTTTAGCTCATATAATCCACAACCAGAATAGCTGTTTTGATGTGGAATTAAGGGAGTTTAAAGATCAGCACACAAGTTATCAGGAATCTAATTGAAGCTCCCATTTCAGAAAATTGTGTTATTTTTGTTTACTTATTTTTACCTTTCCTGGGCAATTTACAACTACACATAAGATAATATTTTTTTCCCTTATGCTTAATACTATAAATTATTTGCTGTCCTTAGGCACCTGCAAAAATGATATCCAAATCCTTTCACTCTGATATAATTAATTGCCAAGCCCTATTGCACTTTAAAAACAGCAAGTATATATACTTCCATGAACTTGTGTCCACTTCATTACATTTATCCTGCCATTTGAATTTGTTATTTATATAACAGACCACTGTTAATGAACAGGTAATTATTTTATACTCTAGTCAGGCTCTAGTCTAACTGAGCCTGTTTGTTCACTTTAGATCTTAATTCCCTAAAGAGTTATCGCTTTGATCCATCTGGAAATATCCTGACTTGGAAGCCCTTTTTCTTAATCTCCAATATGTATGAATTCTGTTTGTTTATTTATATTTGTCAATTGCTTAAAAGATAATAGGTATAAGTAAAAACATAGTTATGAATACATGGATACATATAAGAAAAATAAAAAAAATAAAAAAGAAACAATAGGGCAGGGATAGTAGGCATGTTGGTGCACTTATGCACAGACCTCTTAGGAAAGGGGTGAGGTCAATAGCAGACAGTCTAAGGTTAAAGTTTTTGGGGTTTGGGGAAAAAACCACAGAGTCAGGTAGAGTATTCCAAACATTGACCACTTTGCTGCTGAAGTCATATTTCCTGCAATCAAGTTTGGTGCTATTAACCTTGAGTTTGTATCTATTGTTTGCTCTTGTGTTGTTATGGTTGAAGCTGAAATATTCATTGACAGGTGGGACATTGCAATGTATGATTTTATATACTATACTTAGATCGGACCGAAGGCGGCGTAGTTCTAGGTTTTCTAGGTCTAGAATTTTGAGTCTGGTAATTTAATAGTGAGGAAAATGCTCTGGGTCTGCTTATAAACTTTTATGATATAGAGACAGAATTGGCTTATTGCCAGTGATTGAGCCTGCCGTTTCTAGTAGAGTTGAATTTTGTAGTCTTTGCCAAGAATTAAAGTCTATTCCAAAACAATTATATTTTGCAGGTCGTTGCCATTGTCAAACAAGAATGTTTATTTCCCTTTAACATGGGGACAAGGTGGTGGGTTTCATTCTATAGATTAAGGAAAGCACCACAAAAATATTTGGTGAGTGACCTAATGCTAAAAAGTTTTTAGTGCCTTTATGTTATCTATATATCCAACAGCCTGTGTTAGTGATGCATTTTGCTCTTTTTATTATAAGTATTACATTTTTCTGCGTGATTCAGTGCTTCATGTCAGCAGTATTTCATGGGTTTTAAAAATGTTCCTGTTTCCTCACAAGGTGTCTATTTATTGAAAACACTCAGCATTTCATTTGTGGAAAAATACTATCCTGGCTTTCTTAGTTAGTGTCAGTAAGGCTGCTGAGGAAAGAGCAAGGGCTTTGTGGAATCCCATTCCTTTCCTCCTAAGCCTCCAAGCATATTAAGATTTACAAACCTTAAAATAGCTGCCCTTTTCACTGGTTGTTTTAGTCCTTATCAGTTATGGTTTAAACACCAACACAATTGGTGTTCCAGATCTGACCTTTCTAAATGAATAATACTTAGTGATCAGCTTTTGTTTATCTCTGTCAGTACACGGGCAGAAAAAGCTTCGTTCAAAGAGATCCAAGAAGCTCTTCGGAAACATTCACCAAGCCAGAGCAGCCAACGGGTTCCACTGTCGTTGGGGGGCCGTTCCCACCAGCGAGCAGATGCAACGCCGGTTCTCCCAGAAATAGTTGTGCGTAACTTGAAGGCAGGTCCGGAAAAATCTGAACACCCTGCCATAATTCTAACTTGATGCCCACGGCGCAAGATTTGTATTCGCAGGCTGCACGGTTATGAAATGTCTCTCCTCCCTCCCCTTCCCAAATCTCACCGGAGTGGCGGGATTTCCCCACCTCGGAGGCGCTCGACCGGTCTCCTTCAAGTTTTGCAGCTGCAGCTGTCACCCGATAGAAGTCAGGCAAGTCTGTCGCTGTGGCTCCTGTGGCTCTGCCAAAGCAGCGCGAGAGATTAAGAAACGGCAGGTTTCCATCTGAAAATCCGGCAGAAGACGTGCCGGGGAAACCCGGAGGAAAAGCTCCACCTACTTGGTGATGTCACTGAAGAGTTCCCTATTCGGAGGATCTAGTTTAGCTCTCGAAAACAACCCCTAGTACAGTATTAGATGAGAAATTACAGCGATTGACTTGCTCGGGCTGTTAAACTAAAAGAGAAGAAAGGTCTGATGGATATCAGCATCCCCCTCCCCGCAAAAAACACCTCATTCTGAGGATTTCCCCCAAACGTCCTCTCCAAGAAGCTCCTGGACCCCCCACTTTGGGATTACATTCCTTAACTTTTTGGAAACTTGGTAGACCTGACACATGTTATAACAAATAAATGCTCTGTCTTACATATTGGCCAAAAAAAATAGAAAATAAAATACAAGCTGAATAGTCAAGACCTTGTTGATGATCCAAACTCTATCAAGGACCTTGGAGTACTCATCTCTAATGATCGAAGTGCTAGAGCCCACTGTAACTACATAGCCAAAAAGGCATTAAGAGTTATTAACTTAATTCTACATAGCTTTTTCTCTGGTAATATTACACTACTAACTAAAGCATACAAAACATTTGATAGACCAAAACTTGAATATAGCTCATCAGTCTGGAACCCGCATTACGTATCTGATATTAACACAGTCCAGAAATATTTCACAAGAAGAGTTCTCCACTCCTCTACTTGTTGCAGAATATCTTATGCCACCAGACTTGAAATTCTAGACCTAGAACACCTACAACTATGACACCTTCGGTCCAATCTAAATATAGTATACAAAATCATACATTGCAATGTCCTACCTGTCAATGAATACTTCAGCTTCAACCGTAACAACACAAGAGCACACAATAGATACAAACTCAAGGTTAATCGCACCAAACTTGATTGCAGGAAACATGACTTCAGCAACAGAGTGGTCAATGTCTGAAATACTCTGACTGTGGTTTCTTCCCCAAACCCCAAAAACTTTAACCTTAGACTGTCTGCTATTGACCTCACCCCTTTCCTAAGAGGTCTGTAGGGGGCGTGCATAAGCGCACCAACGTGCCTACTGTCCCTGTCCTATTGTTCCTTTTTATTTCTCTTATATGTATCTATTTCATGTATTCATAACTATACCTGTTATCTTATAATCATTTGACAAATAAATAAATAATAAAAAATATGGTTTGCTCCACCCTTTAATTGCACTTCCAATGTGGAAAATGTTTGTGCAAATACACACACACGTGTGTGTGTGTGTGTATGTGTTGTTGTTGTAAGTTGTGAAGTTGTGTCCGACCCTATGGACAACCTTCCTCCAGGCCTTCCTGTCCTCTACCATCCCCATTAAACTCACACCAACTGTTTCATGACTCCATCCTGCCACCTCTGTGTGTGTGTGTGTGTGTGTGTGTGTGTGTGTGTGTGTGTGTGTAGAAGTCAGGAAGGCCTGGAGGAACGTCCATGGGGTCAGACATAACTTCATGAGGTCATGAAGTCAGGAAGGCCTGGAGGAATGTCCATGGGGTCAGACATGACTTCATGATTTATAACAACAGTGTGTATGTGTGTGTGTGTTGTCATAAAATAATTACTTAATAAAAAGTGTCCAGAAAAGAGACCTGAAACAAGATGGAGCGATGACATCAGCAAGTATTGTGGGCCCAATTGGCAAAGGAAAGCTCAAGACTGCATTAGTAAGGCACATATTATTATTTATTTATTGTGCAAACTTAATGCTACAAGCAAGATAAAAAGTTATAAATGCTAACTGCAGTGCACAATTCATGTTTCCAATCAAAATTAGTGTCCTTATGCACTAGAAAAAACCTTCCAGGAATGTCTAGTTAGTTGGGCCAAGGAGCCCTGCCTTGAAGGAACTATAATCCTTCTAGGAACTCTGCCCACAATCTAGTAATAACAGAGGAAAAATATATTAAAAAGCACTCAAGGATTATCTTGCAGGCTAAGATTTTCTTGTATTTTGCTGTTTGCTGAGCTGTAGCAAAACAATGGTAGAGTAGCAAGATGCTATCTGCATAAGATAATATTGTCAGAGCCAAGTCATTCTTTTTATTAGTCAAAGCAATAGGTATACATTTGTCAAGACTTATCAGGTATTTCTTCAAACTTTTCCTAATAAAGGAATCCGGTAAATCTTTAGGATCATCAAATCTTGTGATACCTCTTGTTGTTCAGGCTAGGAACAAAGGCCATTAATCCGTCCTAGACACCTGACTCAATCTTTCCCCCTTTCTTCTTTTTTTTGTGTCTCCCCCCACCTTTCCTGCTTTCTACTCATTTTTTTCCAAAATAGGATTGCCTGTTTTATTAATATTTTATAAAAAGGAAACCCTACCTCTCTTGTTTTGCCAGCCCATGCTCTCCTCTTATCTTTTTTTAATCTTGTCCCATAGCTAAAATCATTCAGAAGAACTGCCCAGACTTGAGCTATTCTCCTCACTTGCCAACATTTTGCTTATCTTGGAGAAAAACTTCTCATACTTTTGAACTCAGAATTTTTCCTCACCTCTGAAATTAGACTTGAGTCCAGCTAATGTGACCTTCATGCAGGCAGCTGCTTGTCTCATTCATTCATTCATTCATTCATTCATTCATTTATTCATTCATTGAATCAGACTTGTAGTACAACTGGTAGGAAGTTGCTTGGTCCTACAATGTTGCAAATGGCTCAAGGCTTTCCAGTATATTGCCTTCTTAGACAAGAAATACAGCCTTACTGGGTCTACCCAAACACATCAGATTCTGAACAGCTGCATCCAGAATTAGGCAAAGAAAGCACCATTTTATCTTTTGTCTCCAGCTCCGTGATTTTAAGAATTCAAAGAGCATGAGCAAAACAGTGTTGACAGGAACCCTCTATCTTCCCTGCCTTCTGACTATTGGACTCCATCTAACATGACTTTCAAGAACCAGAACTCTGATGAAGCAGCAAAGACATGATTCCTTTCTTTTCCCTCTCTTTTTTCAGTTCAAAACATTGTCTCTGCTTATTTCTCCAGAGCTGAAAATGTCAGACCTGCCTCAATCTGATACCTTATGAAAGAAAGACCCTGGACTCCCTTTGGGTGAAATGATATTCTCTTACTAGAAGATGCTGGCTGTAGTGAAATCAGGCTAGAACTAAAATTCTCGTATGAAAACATATAGGCTTCCCCCTTCAATCTGATCATTTCACCTTGACCAGTCCACTTTCAGCCAATGGATGGATGCCTGTTTTGGGAATGTTCAGTTTTTGGAGCATTCTGCAATCCATTCCCAAGAATCTCTGGCCTCTTAGTATTCTTGAAGACTGACATGAACTGGATCAAAGTATCTCTAGTCTTTTCCACGGTCATTCCCCACTCCCAATTTCCCAGCACTAGCCTAATACATGTTTATCACCCATTTGGTCCCTCGCTTCCTCCCCCCTCCCCCACTGGCTATTGATGGGAGGATGACGATAAGGCTTGGAGCCAAAGATGGCAGAATTGACAAAGAAGATAATCACTTTTTAAACTCCCTCGTTCTCCTGCCATTCTATGATCTCCTTGCTTTATCTTACAGAATCCAGTCTTTCTCTTTCTGAATTAAATGTGTTACTATCGATTATTATCGCCTCTTATTTAATTGCTTCATATGTCAACTTTAAATATTGATAGTTCTGCCCTTCCTTCCCTCTCTAGGAGATCTTGCAGCTCAGATCACAGAAACATAGGTGACCAATTAGTAAAAAAGAAAAACCTTAAGAAAGTACAGTGTTCTGGATAGCTCACAAGACAGTGGCAATTTACTACAAATGAAGGGCTCCCTGCCAGTATCTCCAAAAAGATATTACAAGTTTCAAATTAGAGATCACAGGAAATTATTTTACCTTAAAATTTCACATCTTCAGCCTCTTTTGGATAAAGATTGGATTTACATCTGATTTCCTAACATGTACTGAGAATCAAGAATGTGGGATAGCACAATATAGCAAACTAGAATTTAAAAATATAGCATAAATTATTGGTTAGATAATTTCTATTTCTAGAGAAATAGGCATTTTGGTGGGGAGCAAAAATTCCTGCTTCTCCAGCATCTTTGGAAATTCAAGTACTAATCAGGGGACTAATGGGGAATAGAAGCCTACTCCTTACTAACTATTCTGTGAAACTCTGCCCCTTTCTTTTAAAGAACTGGACTTTCTCCAACAAAATAAGGAGCTAACTTGACAATTTGCCTGACAGTTGTATCTCACTCAGGAATGAGGTCTGCCTGCAGGCTGGCAGCAAGGTTAAATTCACAAAAGCCTTAAAACCACATTCTTTCCAGCTTTCCATACAAACCACTGTCCATTTAGCAATCTGTCCAAGGTTGATTATGCCAAGTACTTTTGAAATGAAGAAGCTCAGAGTCTGGATCCCAAGGCAGACAGCTCCCCATCCCTATGTTACTCCACAGTTGAAGAGCTAGTGACTAGATATGAGTTGTTGTTCTGATAGCCAGAGACTACACACACAAATCAGTCTGGGGAGAAAGGATAGCAACAAAAGTAGCTCAGGGGGCTCTCTTGAACAAGTGGGAAGAAGCAGTGCCAGGAAGTTGCCTCAGCATCAGAACTGGATTACAAAATTCCAAAGGACAACTAGATGATACCAGTAGCAGACAAACAGGTAGTTTTCTGTCTCTCTTTGCTGCCATCTATGGGTATTGCTGGAGGCCTTGGTGCTCCCTGACCTGTTCTGTTTTCTTGCAGATGTTTCATTACCAAACTAGGTAACATCATCAGTGCATAGAGAGCAGCAAGGACTCCACAGTTCAATCCTGAGCTACATTATTCTGTTCTAGGGGTTCTTTAGTCAGCTATTGTTCCTATGCCTTGAAAAAAGACAACTGCCTGGGTTAGTCCACATGGAATATTTTTTACAAAGTTTTTCAAAAATGGTTTGCTATTGTCTTCTTCTTTCCAGGGCTGAGAAAAACTGCCCCAGGGTCATCCACCTAGCTTCATGCTTCAAGGAGAACTAGAATTCTGTCTTCTGGTTTCTAACCTGGGGTCTTGTTGGTAGCAAGTAACCAGGAGTCTGGTAGCCCCTTTTCCAGTTACTGTAACACATATTATTAGAAAAGGCATATACTTTTACAATTCCATTTGATCTGATAAAGTGAGCTTACAAAAGTTGATGCCTTTCATTAAAACATATCATCATAGTTGGGAAAAGGGCTATCAATTATCAGCTTTCTCCTAGGTTCATAATAGCAATAGTAATAGCATTTAGACTTATACACTGCTTCACAGTGCTTTACAGCCCTTTCTAAGCGGTTTTCAGAGCCGGCATATTTCAGAGTTGGCATATTGCGAACAATCTGGATCCTCATTTTACCAACCTTGGAAGGATGGAAGGCTGAGTCAACTTTGAGCCTGGTGGGATTCAATCTGCCAAATTGCAGGCAGCTGACTGCAGCTGAAGTAGCTTGCAGTACTGCACTCTAACCCACTGTACCACTGAGGCAACCTGCCTGCTTGAGGCAGATCAGAGTCTGTTTCTCAAAAGAGAAACATGTGCCAGCCTTTCCAAGGATCTCCCCCTCAAGAGGAGTTGGATTCAAACACCTATCTATCTTCCTACAGAAGTACTGGCTGAGAAACATAGGCGTTGGAGTCTAAGATGTCTGAGGGACATGAGATTGAGGGAGGCTGATGGACACAGAAGGCTTAGCTTGAGACCCTAAGCTTGAGGAAGGCTTATGGAGGCATCCTTCTTAGAGGATGTTTGATTTCTTTAAACTCACAGGCTCCTCCCACATCTGCAAATACTGTGAGGGGAGAGGGGGAAGGGAAGAATTTCTCCTCAGGGCAGAATCCGTTTGACCTTTTTCAAAACAGGGCAGAAAGTCAAAGAAGGTAAACCATAACTTTTCCTCCAACATAAATCTATGGATGTGTTTGTGTGGGTATCTACACACACACACACACACACACACACACACACAAATGGAAGGAGAGATAGAAATTGAACAAGATGATTTTTCTGTGGAACTCTCTCCTCTTCAGAGTCTATCTGAATTTTATGTTATTTTGTTTTATTTTATTTTAAATTTTAACCCTTATGGTAAAGCAGTTCATTAGAGCCAGTTTGGTGTAGTGACTGAAGGCATCAGGCTTGAATCAGGAGGCCTTGAGTTCTAATCCTGCTTGAGACATAAAATCAGCTGGCTGACCTTGGGCCAGTCACTCTCTCTCTCTTGGCCTTAGGAAAGAGGAACGATTTGCCCTTGTGAAAAATCTTGGCAAGAAAACTGCAGCGACCAGTTCAGGCAATTGCCAGGAATTATGTCTCAGAAAGTGCACGCGTGCACGTGCAAACACACACTCACACACACACACACAAAGCTTATAAAATATGAATTTGTAACATATTCTTCAGAATTTACAGATAGTTCTCACTTAGTGACTACAATTAGAGCTGGCAATACAGCAATTAAGTGAAGCAGTTGCCAAGTGAAACTGTTACTATACTTATAATCTTACTTCAGCTTTCCTTTGCTTTACATACTTGTAAAGGTCGAAAATGCAAGTATTGGTTGTAAAGCTATTTTTTCAACACTGCCATATTTGTGAATGGTTGCTAAACAAGGCAGTCACTAAATGAGGACTACCTGCATTATCAGTACTCCAAGTAGAAAATAGAAAATGTGGTTTTTTTAAAGACATTATATCTTTAAGAAAATGGAGAGCAGTATTTAAGGGTAGTCTGAAAGTTAGTGGTTGCCCAGTTTGATGACTGAGGAAGTGTTAAATAGATATTTCCCATGCTTTTGAGTTTTAAGATCTATCAATTCCATCCCACTAGCTATTCACTAGGATACTTTATGTTATTATTTTCAAATTCTGAAGAAGCAAATCTGGGGGCTACTATTTGCCTCTCAGCATAACTTTCCCTTACATTGGCATCCATTCACATACCTCTATTTTGTTTCTTATTGCAACACTGGAATATACAGGATCTGATGTCTTTAGAAAAATGATGGAGACTTACTGCTACAAATTGGTCATTGGAAATCAATTAGAGAATTCATAATCTTAACTGCTCATTTTGTCAATTTCAGCTATTCTAAGAGCAGCCCTTTGTGTCTATGGATGGGTGAATGAATTTTGGCAAGTGCAATGTGGAAACCTTGTCATAGAAATAAAGATGACTGCTATCAAAATATTGAAGCAATTTCTCAGAGAGTAGTGGAAAGTATCACAATTATAGAAAATCCTTTCATGTGAAATGGATTTTCTATTTTGTAAAGCTCAGCATGTGTCCAGAAACTATTGAATCGTGTTCAATGTATTTGAAATCAGGTTATATTTAAACTACATTAAAAGGATTATACAAAATTTTATCAATTATTTTTGGCTTTCACAGAAAGTTGATACAATAGCATGATTAACAAAAATGTGGATTAACTGCCTTCTGATGACATAACTTTTCTTCATCCTTAAAGGTTATTATGTCTACTGAAGAATTTCAGTTCCAAGAGCCAGAGCAAGAACAAGATAAATCAAACAGTCTATTCTTCACTAATTCAGAAAGAAATGAATTAAGTGATAATCCATTACGGTATGATTTTTAAAAGTATTGTGAAACTTTAAAATCTTCCAAAAGTCAAATGTGAATCAAAAATGGGTATCATGAGCCATACTATCTATGAACAAATTTCCCCCCAAAAGAGGTTGATTTTTAGCATAACATTTACTCAAATCTACAATCTTGCATCTATGAAGAAATAATGTAATAGTAATAGTAGCTACAATCACATAAAGTATCAATGATGCAAGTTTGTGCCCAATGCAACTAAAATGACATTTTAGAGATGATGTGCTTGCTGTCTTATATTGATCTTGTTAATATATGTTAATGTGTTGTTTGAATAACAATAAACCATAGTCTGGTTTACAATTTGCAATGGTTAGTTTCACATAACCAATTTATGCCGCAAACTGACTATATTATAGATTAGTATGATATATGAATGCAGTTGGAATAACTATTCTTATGCAATTTTGTCTCTTTGGGCAATAGCATTCTATAAGATAGATGTCTTACCAAATCCTCCTGACAATTTAAGTAAATAAAGATCTGCTGCAGTCTACCCCACTACCCTCGTTTGCTATGTGAATAAAAATAGGATAAAGACTAAATACTACCCTATGTTTTTTGGATAAAGCTAGAAAGATGAATAAAAGAGCAAACATAGGCTCAAATGAGTTATTATCGTAAATAAAAGTAGCATTCTAGAATGAAAAGTTAAAAATTTTAAAATAATAGATTGAGAGAATTGGTCATGTTTTTCTTTCCGTATCGTGAGGACAAGAATGTCCTTAAAATGATTCCCCTTTTTAATGGGATATGACTACGTAAATCTAGTGGACAGTATAAAATCAAATAAATTAGCTACATTTATGCCTGATGGAATGTAGCTCTACTTAATTCAAAGGTAACATATACAGAGGTAGGCTCTAGAAAAACAGATGAAAGTAAACAAAAGTGATAATGGAAAGAAATAATTTATGACATTTAAAAATTGATTTGCTATATTGGGGCAGTATAGATCAGGAGTAAACTCAAGGCCTGCGGGCCACATTTGGCCCGCAGGGTGCTTAAATCTGGCCTGCGGGGCTGGCCTGGAAATAGCAAAGGATTGGCCTATGGTGCTTCTGGTAGCCAAAATGGGGTCCCCGTTTTTGGCTTGGACGGCCTCCTGCAGCACTTTGCCGGCCAAAATGGGGCCCAGAGTACTAGAGGCTGTTCTCGAAAAAATCTAGTTTGACACCTCTGGTATAGATATTTTGTTAATTAAAAAACCTGAAGAAGTAACATGAAAATTATATGAAATACTATTCTCTGCAATCCATTGACTTCCATTGTTTGAATATGGTAAAGTGAGATAGTAGTCAAACCAAATTTTCTTGGAGTAGATCTGGCATGTGACTTGCATAGATTCAAAAAACTCCATAATTATTGTAATTTGCACACTTCATTATGAAATAATTTTACTTGTGATAGAATTAGTTCTACCATATCCCTATGCACAGAAACTATTAATTTTATACCGTGAGACATTTCATTTTTTATTTTTCTGAAAATATAGGAAAGATTCTCCAAAAACACTTCTTCCCAATGCAAATGTAAGCGGAGGAAGGCCAGATAGCAAAGCCTCAAATTACTTTATAGCCCTAGATTCAACTATTGAAAGTCTTCAGGAAAGAACACAGCAACTAATTGATAAGATTAATGAGAATAGGAAGAAAGACCATGTACTCATGAACAACTTCAGGGAAAGTCTTCTGATGAAGGTAAAACAGGAACAAATCTGGTGGTGAATACATTCAGAAGTTTTGAGAAATAGGAAATAATTATTAAACTTAATTTTCCAAATTATCCCAAAGAACTAATTCTTATGAGAGCCTCATTTTTCAAATACTCCGAAAAAGGTAACTAAATTCACCATGAATGTATGGCTGTACTTTCTACTCCTTTCCTAATCTTTGTTTGTAATTCATTTTCTTCATTATCTTTCTGCTTTTAATCAAAACGATGACAGTACCATGACAACATGACTAAACTTAAAAAAAATAAGCATGATCTAATTTGATTAGAACATGAAGAGGAAATCATTAGGAAATTCTCTGGCTGTAGATTAGACTGGAAACATCTTTTTGAAAAAGTCATATAAACATTTTCATATTCTAAATAGCTACTTTGACTTTGGATAAGCTGTTCCAATCTAATTAAGTCATTTCGAAGTTGTTCTGGTATTCCTAAGTTTGAAGTATCTCTTTTGAACTTGGAACATTCTGGAACTATTGGCAAGGTCAGAATTATTCTTTCCAGTTGAAACAACTTAATTCAAAATGTTTATGCTTTTTTAAAAAAACCTAACAAAAATTAATAATAACTACTTCTGTATTTTTGCAAAGAAACCAACCTGAACTCCTCACCTAAGAATCAAGCTAAATTTGAGGGTATTTTGGACAGCTAGAAGTATTACCTATTTTATGTTTTACCTATTCCTGGACTACTTTTAGCTATTGTCACTCATTATTTCATTTGGTGCATTTCTTCTATTTTTCACCATTTTCTTCAAATATCAGTTACATATTTTTATATTTTTCTTTAATAAGTGTGTATTATCTTAGAGGCAAGCTGGAGCAAAAATACATATGTAAGACATTAAAATATAGGCTCTTCAAGTATTCAAAGACAGAATATTAAATCAATAGTATTTAGCTCGATTACCAAATATATATTAAAGGAGTTTGCTTTTTTGTTTTAATGTAATATTTCCTGTCAAAAGAACTGTAATCACAATAAATCTATTTTTCTAATATTTTTATTATTTTTAACCTCTTACAGCCTTATGTACTTCTTACATAGATACTACTTTTATATGTATTTCCATAGAGTTATAAACTTCAATAGGATATTAATTGTTTATATTATACTGTATATCAGGTTGAATTACTTCAGAAATGATTTTAAATCTGGTTTCCCTTTAAGATTGTAATATTAAACCCTGTTGCTTCTTTGTTAATATTCTGAATTCTTACAACTCAATTTTATGATTCAATAAAGTTGGCCTTTGCTAAGAAATAATTCTTCAGTTTAAGTAACTTTATATATGAATTCTATATCTCACCTTTCCACTGAACATAATACAGTATGCAGCAATATAGTAAAACATTTAAAATTCAATAATCAAAAATAAAAATATGTAAATAATAAATAGCAGTGTTCTCTTGGAATATCCTGGAAAATATAATCAATTAGCAGATTCGTGAGCATCTAGAAATGAGCAAGGCAATTTCCAGAAGCCAGCATGGACTTGTTAAAAACAGATCATGCCAGACAAATCTTATTTCCTTCAGTGACTAAATTAGAAGTTCAGTGAAATTCTGTCGACATAGTTTACTTAGATTTCAATTAGATTAACTGAAAGTAGACCCCAGCTTACTTCTTAGTAAAATATAACTATGTGGGATATAAAGGACTACCAGTAGGATTTGCAGTCCTACCACACTCAGCATGTAGTCTTCAATGGAACTACATCTGCATGGACGGAAGCATACAACGGGCTACCTCAAGGTTCTGTCTTATGCCGAGTACTCTTTAACATCTTCATAAATGATCTAGATGCGGGGATAGAAGGGAACTCATCAAATTTGGAGATGACACAAAGTTGGATAGAATAGCTAACTCTGAACTCAAGATTCAGAAGGATCTTGGCAGATTTGAACACTGAGCTCTTTCCAACAAAATGAATTTTAATGGTGAAAAAAGTAAAGTCCTATACTTTGGCAAGAAAAAACAAATGCACAAGTATAGAATAAGTGGTACCTGGCTCAATAGTAATAACTGTGAGAGGGATCTAGATGTCCTAGTGGACCATCACTTAGGTATTGGCCAGTAGCTTACTAAAGCTGCCAAAAAAGCCAATGCAGGCCCAGGTTGCATCAACAGAGGGATAATATCAAGATAATGTGAAATGATAGAACTGCTTTATACTGCATTAGTGAGACCACGTTTAGAATACTGTGTTCAATTCTGGTCACAACAATACAAAAAGAATGTTGATACCTTGAAAGAATGCAGAAAGAGCAACAAAGATAAGGGATCTGGAGGCTAAACCATATGATGAACAGTTGAGAGAACTAGGTATCTCTAGTTTAATGAAGAGGACGTAGGGGTGACATAATAGCAGTCTTCCAATACTTGAGGGGCTGTCACAGAGAAAAGGGGTTCAACCTATTTTCCAAAGCACCTGAGGACAGAACAAGGAATAATAGGAAGATCATTAAAAAGAGAACCAATCTAGAATTAAAGAGAAATTGCCTCCCAGTGGAAACAATTAATCAGTAGAATGGCTTGCCTCAGGAAATTCTGGGTTTTCAAGAATGGAATAGGGAGTTGGACTAGATCTCCAAGAATCCTTCCAACTCTGTTATTGTTATCTTATATTATTCTTTATTAAAGTATAGCTGAACATTCCAATATAAGCAGCAAAAATACATCACAATAGTGGGAAAAGCAGAAGAGCTGCAAGGGCAATTATATGCTCACTACAATATCAGCCTGTTATATTAATAACTGTTGGGCTGTGTACACATCACAAAGGAATCAGAAAATGACCCTTCATCTTTGGCCTAAGCAATTTCACCTCTCCTTGGGCAGTCTGGCTTCCCAGTAGTCATCATATTGGTGCCGAACTTAGTACATAGTACTTATTATACTACAGCCCACAACTTCCAAGTCAAGCAATCTACCAGCTTTCTGAATATTTGAACAACCCAGTTGTTCCTGTTTGCTATACTCTATTACTTCGCCAGATTTTTGATTACTCTGTGAACAGTTACTCATATTATCATTTATTGTAAGTGGACACATTTATTACTATTTAGAATCAAAAGTAGGCAAAGAAATGTGCCAAGTTCAGTTTAACTGTTTCTTTTTTTCCCAAAGGTTTCAAGCTTGGCAGAAAAATTGGAGGAAAGTGTATTTCCTGTTTATGACCATAATAACAAGCTTATTCAGGATAAGCTGCAAGAGCTTTCTGAGATCATGGAGAAGATCAGACAGATTGAAAATGAACTCAAGCAGGTTTGTCATACCGTGGAGATGATGTATAAAGACCTGTGTGGTCAACCTGAACTGTAATCTCATGGAGAAAAAATAAAGGAGAGGGAAATAATACAGTAAGAAAGAAAGAATATATAAAATAAATAAATAAATATATCTGTGTACCAGTAAGTAGTAATTTGGCTTCTTTGAATTGCAAAATGGCATCCAAATCTATTCTGTTCATAGGTAAGTTTATTTTCTTGCATTCTTTTGGTTTTTCATTACTCATTTGCAAATGAGTTACTTTCTAGTTCATAATGTCAATAAAATTAATTACATTAATATACAGTAATTTACTTTCTTTTCAAAACATTTGAACTATTATCAGTATTTACAGAGGTATACAATCAATAAATACCCTAGCAAGTGTAGTCAGTATGTACCCATGTTTCCTTGAAAATAAGACCCAGTCTTGTTTTTTTAGGCTCTAAAAGGGAGCCAAAAATTATTAGGGCTTATTTTCCAGGAAACATGGTATCAGGGTGATGGCAAGGGACCAGTTTTCACCACCTTGCTCCAGCCTGTATCCACCCCCTGGCACGCACACAAGAGGTAGCGAGCATGCGGGGCCAACGATGGCCGGTAGCAACTTCAGCCCACTGCCCCCTTGCCCAGCACACCCTGGGGCGGCGCAGACTACGCAGTGCAGGTGAGTCCAAGCCTGGCTGGCCCTCCAAGCAGTAACCAAAGACAGAGGCGCAGGGGGAGGCATGCGATCCAGCCCACCGGATGTACTGCATGGCTACCTGTCCTGTCCCAGCTGTAGGCAACCAAAGACATGGTGGGATGGAGTGGACAGGCTACCATGTGACACATCCAGTTGCCCCGGATTGTGTGCCTCCCCCACCTCTGCCTCCACCTGCTGTCCTGGTGGTTGTAGCATTCACACTCACTTGCACGGTGCAGGCTGCGCAGGCCGAATGCGCTGACCAAGGGGCCAGCAGACTGCTGCTGCTGGATACCGTTGGACCCCGCGCACCTGCTACCTCCTGTGCTGGCCACGTCCCCCAAGAGCTGATGAATTTAACTGGGGCTTATTTTGGGGTAGGACTTATATTATGAGCATCTCAAAAAATTATGCATGGATTTTATTTTCAGGGAAATATGATACAAACATGATACTCATTTTTTCTCTCTTTTCCCTTTCTCATTCCATAAAATGGGCATTTTCAGCAAGGCAAATACTTGTTTGGCTGAGTTCTTTTAGTCTGATGACTATAATTAAGCCCAATCAGTGTTGATATTGTGCAATCTTTGAAAGTCATCACATCAAGAACATGAAGTGCTATAAGGACAGTTTAAGTCTGTCATCACTGACTAGATAAACATCTATAGGTATTCAGTTGAAAGTCTCAGATTTATAGTATGAAAGTACAAGAAAAAAAATAGCAATTATCTGTAAAAGTAATTAAGACAAAGATGATATCCAGTGTTCTAAGAAATAAACAAGTTATTTAAAACACGGTAAACATTAAATGTTTACTTTTAAATGTAATACTTCAAACATTAAATGTTCACAAACACACCATAAACTTCAGAAATAAAAATAATTTGTTGGTATTTCTTCTGTTATGATCTGTTGCAGTCAACCAGTTGTTTAGACTAGATTAGGCATTTTTATCCACCTATCAAGTTCTTTCAAGGACCTGATAGACAGATATTGTTTTGGTGATGTTAGAGGTATCATCACCACACCAAAGTAAGACCACACTTAGAGTACTGCATTTAGTTTTGGTCACTACACTATAAAAAAGATGTTGAGGCTCTAGAAAAAGTCCAGAGAAGACCAACGAGGATGATTAGGGGACTGGAGATTAAAACATATTAAGAACAGTTACAGGAACTGGACTTGGCTAGTCTAGTGAAGAGAAGGACCAGGGGAAACATGATAACGGTTCCAATATTTGAGGGGCTGCCACAGAGAGGAGGGGTCAAGCTATTTTCTAAATCTAAAGCACTTGAAGACCACACAAGGAATAATGGATGGAAACTGAGCAAGGAGATACTTAACCTGGAAATAAGGAGTAACTTTCTGACAGTGAGAACAACCAACCAGTGGAACAGCTTGCCTTCGGAAGTTGAGGGAGTGTCATCACTTGAGACTTTCAAGAAGAGATTGGACTGCCATTTGTCAGAAATGGTGTAGGGTCTCCTGCTTAGGCGGGGGTTGGACTAGATGACCTACAAGACCCCTTCCAATTTGATTATCTGTATCACAGGTTGTAAGCTGTTCAAGTAAAGCTGCCTTTTGCAGTTGACTGATGGTGAACTTATTAATACCAATGTTGTTCAAGTGGTGCTCTAGTTGTCTTGGGATTGCACCCAGAGGGCCTATTACTATGGGTACTACCTTTGCTTTCATTTGCCACAGTTTTCTATTTCTATTTGCAGATCTTTGTATTTTGTTACCTTCTCCATGTCCTTCTCTTATATTCTGCTATCTCCAGGTTCTGCCACATCTACTATCCAGACTTCTCTTTGTTATCAACAATTGTTAACTCTGGCACATAATGAGGCAGGTGCCTGTCTGTTTGAATTCTAAAGTCCCAGAACACTTTAGCTTTTTCATTTTCTATTACTTTATCTACTGTATGGTCCCACCGGCTCCTGCTTGTAGGCAAATGGTATATTTTGCAGATCTTCCAATGTACCATTGTTGCAACTTTGTCATATCATTGTTTGTCTGTGACATCTTCTTGTAGCAGCTAACCAGGTTATTTTCTGTGCTGTTATTTTTTAGAATGTATTTTTTTTGCTCATGATTGGCTCATGATTACACAATTTTTCTTGAGATAACAGCTTTACTTCTACTTTGAGTGGTATGATGAGACTTCTACCCCAAAAATCAGGCATAAGGAGGTTGTGGAGTCGTAAAAAAAAATGATTACATTTAAGTTGTCTTTAAATATAATCATTTTTTCCTTTTTATAATGTGCTGGCAATATTTGGTGGTCTCTGGGGGCTACATTCAAGGCTCAGAGATTGGACCTCATGTCTTACAGTCTTAACTGTTTCATAATGTAACTTCTGTTTTAGAAAATATATTAGTTATAGTACATAGGTTAAACAAACAAAAACCTTGACATAACACATAACAGATAATCAGAGTTGGAAGGACTAGGTCATCTAGTCCAACCCTCCACCTAAGCAGGAGACCCTACACCATTTCTGACAAATGGCAGTCCAATCTCTTCTTGAAAGTCTGAAGTGACAATGCTCCACAACTTCCAAGGGCAAGCTGTTCTATTAGTTGATTGTTCTCATTTTTAGAAAGTTTATCCTTACTTCCAGGTTAAATCTCTCCTTGTTCAGTTATAAACATTTAAAAGTGATACTGCATATAAAAAAATATAGTGAATTAAGAATCCAAATATATATTATATTTGAATTTTGATGATAGGGAAAATTTACTGAATTATATATTTGTTAAGAACCATACGAAATTATAAAATTCCCAGCTATTTGTGAAATATAACCCAATATCACTGATTTTGGAACACCATACATCAGTTTTCAAGCCACCTTACTACATTCTATCTAAACCCTAACAATAAGAAATCAGAATTGTCATACCCCACTCGTTGGTTTCTGAATTCTTAACCACAGCAGCAGAAGTGTAACAACCAAAAGCTACAAGTAGTATTTTACTACTTTAAATAAAGATAACTTCAAGTATTCTCTTACAAGTATAGTGACAAAACTCAATGCCTTTTTTAATTTTGTCACTATACTTATGACAAACGGTGTCACTCACAGTCTCCTTGGGTAGAAATGGACTGTTTTCTCTATGTAATCTCTATCCAAAGAGTTACATAATTAAAAGTGCTAATAAAGATGTGAAAGAACTGCTTACAGAAAAGGCCAATTTTCTTTGGTCACTAATATTAGCATATCAGCTTTCAACTAATTATCCTATACAAGCTACTGTTGGAAATTCATCACATTAAATTTATTTTTGAAAGCACAATGGGGACTTTATTCAAAGGGGCAAGAATCTGAGCTGAAATAGCTTAACACGCCATCAAAAATGTGTTCTAATATACAAAAATCAGTCTTTACTTAACATTGTCAATAAAGGCACTAAAAACCAGCAGCTAGTTATGTCACATGGCAGGAAGAGCACAGAGTAGGTAGTATATTCTGATTTTCGTCTTCTGTGTTTGCAAGTATTACAGTTTCCTCTTACACAAAAAGAAGAATCTTACCTGGATTTTTTAAAACTAAAAATTGTAGATTACTCACTCTGGTATAGACCTCAAGGCTCTGACTGGATCCTGGAACAGCAGTCAGCTTTAAAGTATCAAATTTCTTATAATTACATACCCAGATAGTTTGTCTCAAAAATAATTAGACAATTCCAAAACATTTTCTAGACCACAGTGTTATCCTTCTACCAATTAGAAAAAGTTTTTCCCTTAGCATAATGCAGCACTTTTAATTTCTTTCTGTATTTTTGGTGAACAACAAAGAATTTTTAAATGCCTGATTTGTTTCAGCTTACAAATAATTGAGTTGAACTGAATAATTTGATCACAATCTGATGAGCAGAAGCAGTCCATGCTCATCTTCTAGCATCATAAACCATCTCGAGTGATGTTCCCAACTGGAATCATGTAGAGGAAAACTAAAGTCTAGGGAAATGTATTTATTTCCCAACTGTGAATGCCTGAAGTCCAGTGATAGCTCTACCAAGGATGAGAGCATGGATGTCATGAGTCCCTGAAGACAAAAAGAGGAAAATGTTAGAATTGTCTCTTAAAAAAAAATAATATATAAATGAAGCAAAGTAATAGAACATGTTTCTAAATAACATGTTTGCTGGGCACAATTACAATCCTTTTTTTACCTTCATATGTGTTTACTGCCTCCAAATTCATAACATGCCTGATAACATGATATTCATCTGCAATTCCATTGCCCCCAAGCATGTCACGGGCTTGCCGGGCAATCTCCAGGGCTTTCCCACAGGAATTCCGTTTCAGCATAGAGATCATCTCAGGAGTTTCCCTGGGGAACATAGAACAAACGCTAAAATCAAGCAAGGGTTGAAAGGGCTTAGTCCCTAGGCTTTTGTTAAGAATGTAAGTCACCTAATAGTTGGGTTGGAAAATATATAAACCAGGATAGACATTTTAATAAAATTGTAATTGGGTGTGGTTCCTCAAACGGCCATTAGATGGAGCCAGAAACCTGGGTTGTTCTGTCCTTTTCTTGAGAGTGTTGCTGTTCCTCCATTTTTCCCCATTGACTGTTATTCTTGGATTTGATGTAAGTCTGTTGCTGAACTGTTTTTGATACTGGACTTTGATATTTGGATTATCCCTGGACTGAAAACTGACTGCTTTAACCGTGAATGACTTGGACTGTTTTGTTGAACTTTGTTTAATCGTTTTACTGGAAGTAAAAAACCTACATTTTACTATACAGTGTGGCTGTGTGCTGTGTGTTTTATTCTTCACTACTCTCACTACATCTCCCTGTGTGCGCTCATTCTCCTAACGGGGAATTACCTCAATAGCTTTCATACAAAACAGATAACAAGTCAGATATGACAGAAATCACACTTAGCATAAGCACTTAAAAAAAATGGATGGGAAGACCAAGGTACATAAGATGTAAGAATTCCCCTCCCTAAAAATAATGAATCAGGGATGGTTTTGCGTGCACACAAGACACTTCCACAAATGCACCCACTTCCTGCTTGCCCACCACTTGCACGACCCAGTTCCCAAGGGGAGAAGCTTTACAGAATAAACATATTGCCCCCAACAATCTGGATCCTCATTTTATCGACTTCAGATATTTTCTTTCTACAGCTACCACCACAGCCAGAGTTTTATTGGGATTATGATGAAAAAGAAAGGAATGGCGATAACTAACCACATCTTGTGGTCATGCAATTTTTTCTTCTTCTTGCTATTAAAAGCACAGGTTTGAGCACTATAGTATCAGGCTCTTTTTTCTCAGTTGGTTCAAGCTTAACTGCAGCTTCCCAGGCACTTAACAGCATATTTCACAGATTGTCTTCTGAGAAATGAAACCGCAGCTCGGTTTTATATTCTCTTAAGCTTAAACTTAGCTCCTTTTTCTTCCTTCTTTCCTGAAGCTTAATAGAGACCTTGCTTTTTCTCATGCCTAGTATAAAATGGTAATGGGTTACTATATTTAGAGTATAATTTCTAATTTCTATCTTCTGCAATAGTCCTAGATGTGTGCTAGCTGCAGCAAAATGAGTAGAAATGATTTATTATTGTTGTTGTTGCACATAGCAATGCTGGGACTGAAAAACTAAAAAAATTACAATTTGTGGGTTAAAAAAAGGAGAACAATTTGATCCTCCCTTTTATCTCTATCTCTTTCCAGCAGAGAGGTACTGATCTTATAAAGTGTTTCCCCAGATACAAAATGAAGTAGTACACTCCATTTTATCTTGACTAAAACTTTTTTGAGAAAAAAAGTTCACTATTCACAATTCTGCCATTAATCACATATACAAATATATGCCTACTTGTCTTCATCTTTCAAGCGCCCCAGTTGCAGACAAGCCTGTAAGCCAATAGTGATCTCTGTGAGCATGTCAGCCAACTTCTTCTGGATCAATTGGTTTCTTGCCAAGGGGGCTCTGAACTGCATTCTAAAATGAATGGATGAGATAATTCAGCTAAAACCATTGCATAGGGAAAAAAGATTTGATAAAATACTGGAAACATCTGGAAGATCATCATGTAGAAGGTGATTCTATCTTACTGGAGAAGTTTTTAAGCACATCAAGTTAATTTTAAAGAAAATTTCAGATATAACAAAGAGCAGATGAAATAGCATAAAGTCATTTCTGTATCCTGTAAGATGCAAACTTGGAAAAACTCAGAAAAACTCAGTGGAAGAACAGCATACAAACAAACAAACTAGATATATGAGAAGCAACTTAATAACTTACAGAATAATTTCTGGGTACAAAGTCCAGCCTGAAGTATGATTTAGGACTGGAAATACAGTTTAAATAATATAAAGAGAATTACAGAAAATTATGGAGACATCTAAATCTGAAACTGAAGCTGCTTCTATTATTCAGTGATCCTAAATATGTTCCCTATAACAAATGACCATGGAACTATACAAATGAAAACCATCAATGAATAATCTTGAGTTTATTATTTATTTAACCCTGGGGACCTAAGGAACTGTTAAGAATCCATGAAATATAAATAAAATGTATAACTTTAGGGATCTCCTTTCATCCAATATATCCTTAGCAAAACTGCCATTGCTGGGTATCTTTTTTCAAATCTGACTTCAGTCAAGGATGCTCAGCATGATCTTGAAACAAATCTTCCACATGATTTGACATTGTGGGATCATATCACAGTCATAGTGTTTGTGTAAATGAAATAAAGGATACCTACATATTAGTATATAAGCATCATTGTAAGCACATGCCATTTCCTCTAGAATATCTCTCCAGAAATCTTGAAACTTTACCTATCCAAAGTATACTGCCTGGCTGTATGCATACAGAACTCAGCAGCACCCAGTGCTCCCCAGGAGATGCCATAACGTGCATTATTCAAGCAGCCAAAAGGTCCCTGTGGGAAGAGGAAGACATTACAATTCAGAGAAGGAATTTATTAATATTCCTTCTATAAATGTATATAATTAAAACATCCCATCCCAATTCAATTCTATCATTAATATTAATATTCATTAAAGTCTTAACATCTTTAACCTTACTTTTCAATTAAATATCATACTTCTATGGGAACAATTATAAGCTTTCCATAGTTAATTCCCCCTTCACTTATATTTTATAAAACATTAATTAAAATGTTCCCGTTCCTTCCTAATTCAATTTTCTCATTTATTTTATTTCACTTATTTTATTCACAAACATTTCACTAAATTACACTATTTTATCCCTCATTTTAATCATACGTTGTTTCCAATTTTCTAAAGTTATTTCTATTACTAATATAACAATACAATCTTATGTACCTTTACTGAATCCCTTTTTCAGTTAGATTTTCACCCATTATCTCTAAATAGGTCCTGTTTCTGTATATCTTGCTCCGGTCCTTTGTAACTTCTTTTCCTTTCCTTCTTCCCTCTCTTCTTCTCTCTCCCCTTTTTACCCCCTTGTCTCTCTACCTCTAATTCTCTCTTCTGTATTCCCCTTTTCTGTTGCTTTCCAGTATTATACTTATTTTTTGAATTATTTTTCTTTTCTTTGGTTGTTTTTTTAAGTCTTAAATTCTCCATTCTCTTTCCCCCCTTTCCTTTTTCTTCCCCACATAAAATTGCTTGTTCATTAAAGATGGCTTCTTCTTTGTCCCAGTCTTCTTGTTTTGCAGTCGTTTCTTGTTGTTTTGCATAGTTTCAAATTTCCATTTCTAAGAATTGAAAAACTAAGCCAAAAGAACCCTTCCCTTCTTATGCATCTTCTTTGTACTTTTTAAGTTCCATTTTCAATTCATCCAGAAGTGGTGCCATTATATAAATTTTTAAACAACCACCCGATTGATTTTAGTCATTCAAATATAATAACCAAGAATCCAAAGATCACCAAATAATCCAAATACATGCAAGCTGTTTCTTTTTTGCTCTTTTTTTTCACTTTCTCTTCCTGGGGTTACTATTTAGTTGCAAAGTTTCAATTAAAATGTATCTTTTAGAAGTCTTGAAGTTTTACTGTAGATTATTTTTAATTCCAGGCAGTCTCCTCCCTCTTCCAGATCCTGCCCTTATTCTTTTTGTCTCCCTTCCTGCTTATGAAAAAGAAAATTTTAATGTCCAGAAATCTTTATTATCCCTTTGGCATTTTGTTTTATTTTCAGCTTAATTGCCTATTGATGTCAAAGCGGATTTTTCCGATTTCTTATTTAAGTCTCTTAGTTGTCAGTATAGGGAAGGAGAGAGAAGAAAAAAAAAAAGCCAAATCTTTCCCTTATCACTTTCCTTCACTGCTTCCGACTCTTCTTTGGGAGCGATGTTATTTTTTGTAAGTTTAAATTCCAGGGTACCTTAGTTGCTGCTTTTACAGTTTAACCCGGTCAGCCAAAACTTACACTTCTTATCTTCCTCCTGCACATTCTTTTCCGGTCGAGTTCTCCTTTGTGGTGTCCATTTCTGACCACCGCTGCAACCGCCTTCGGGAAAGGGAGTAATGGCCAGCTGAGGAGGAGAGATGCGGCTCTCCTCAACCCTGCTGGCGGTCTCCCCCCTCTTCACCACCTCTACGGGGTGGCTTAGCCCCAAAACCAGCCGGCTCGGGGCGCTCCAGCGGCGAGCCCAGACAGAAACCGTGCACGATTGCGGATTTCTGTCTGTCGCTGAAGCCCTTCAAACTGGAAGTCCTGAAATTAGTATTTCATATGGCTCTTTTGAAGGAGGTTGTTCAAAGACAGTGCCTCATAATATAAACAAATATGGAATACTAGATTTATATTTGTTCCTTAGTTGTACAGTTACTACTTATTGTCGCAATGCAATTTTCACATTTATAATGAAATAAACTCAAAACTTATAGCTAAGCTTCAACTAAAATGTATTTTCAATCTTTCTCAACTTCCCCTGGTAATAAACTCGGGCAAGCACTTCTTGTAGCATTCCTGGTCACTGCACCATTCACAATGAGTAGTCCTACTGCACATGCCAATGAGTATCACATGGACTGTGGAGAGATCTTACTGCGAGTCCAGACACTTTGGGTAGTAGATTCTCTTCAGGCACTTCTACATCTTCCATAATAATCATCCCAGTAAGTGAGGCACGTAATGAAAATTTGCCCTCAATTTTTGGGGTAGAAAGACCTTTCATTCCTCGTTCCAATAGGAAACCCCGTATTTTGCCATCATGACACACAGCCCACACTACACATAGATCAGCCACTGGAGAATTAGTGATCCTAAAAGAACAGCAAGTATATTGTCAATGTTTGACAATGTTCAACACATTCCTTATAGAAATCAAGTTAAAATTCAAGTAGCTAAAATGGCACACTCTAAAAGGGGAAATACAGTGTGAAAATTATCTCTGAACAGAGCAAAGCTTAGTTAGTATCTAATCTCTCAGAAACAAAATTTAATTCAGTCCTTTCCCCTCAAAACTGTTACCATAATTATCAGGGGCTTAAAGTTTTACAATTATTTTAAAATAATCCTAGCGGCCTAATTTACTTCCCTATCCTGATCTGCATACAGGAGGACAAGTGCAAACCTCACCAAGTCTTGGAACCATTCAGTGTGTAGGTCTTCCTGGAAGAGTTGTACTGGGCCCGAGTCTCCATGCTACCAGGGTCACTTCCATGGTTAGGCTCTGTAAGCCCAAAACAGCCCAGCAACTCTCCTTTAGCTATGATCAAAAAAATAAAAATATGAGTATAGCAACTCCCAAATTATCCTTCTCACTTATTCACTTATTCAAACAACTTCACAGGGATAAATCTACAGTGGTACCTTGCTACTCATCCACTTTGAAACTCATCAAATTTGGCATGCAACAAATTTTGATGTGAAAATTTTGTCCTGGTACTCATCCTTCGTTTGGTACTTGATGCACAAGCTAGAACTTAATTTCGATTTCAATTCAGAATAGAGCTGGAAGGATCAAACTTGTCAGTGTCAACTGCTTGTGATTCACTGCATTATTCCTTATGGGAATTTGTTTGATACTAATATTTTGGGTACACATTGTACCTCCTAGAACCAATTAACGATGAGAATTAAGCTACCATTGTACTATGGAATCTGGTAGGCAAAAAATTCACAAATTTTATCAACCAATTATATATATTATATAATTTACTTTTAAAAAAAGAGTATTCTTTAAACAAACTAAAAAAAACCCCTGAAGCTATCTTAATAAACTGTGGTAAAAAAATCAGCAGAACCAAAAAGAAAAAAATTGAAGTTGGTCTGAACTACAGAGCCAAACCAGAAGATGGAAGGAAAGTATTGGGAAATGGGGAAAGGAACAAAGTAACAATTAACTAAAACATGAAATTAAAATATAATTTAATAATTTAAAATAGGTAAACTGTAAAAATAAAATTATTAGGGTTAAAGAAATAAAAAAAACTCAGCCAAATTTAAATTGAAGGATAAAGAGAATCTGGAAAAGAATTACATCACTATTTTTCAGAACAGTAATGAGATACTGTACATGCTAAAATGAAAATAAAGGAAGAGATTTGAGATACTCAAGAAAACAAAACAGTAACATCACTGTCTTCTATGTGAATAAAGGAGATAATTATAATTTTGTATTGTGCAAGTTTTAACTGTTATTTCCAAAGCCTGCAAATCAAAACACTGTAAATCGGAACTTTTCTAAAATACAAAATATAGGATAAAAATAGATAAAAAAGAGAATTTCTAGTACAAAGAACTCTTTAAAATACTTTAAAAAAATCAAATGTAAGAACATCAATATGATCTGCGAAGCACACATTTTTAGGACATACAGAATGCTGAGATATCGGCTGGATAGAATAAAATTGGTTCCCTTCAGGATTAGGGCAAGTTTACTTCTGGTGAAAAGATGGCCAACAGACTACATGCCCAGGGAAGGATACCTGAGGTGGTTTCCCCTGGAATGTAGCTGCTTCAACTATCAACAGAAGAAACCAGCATTCCTTTAATTTATATGACTCTCCTGGGCTAAGGAAAGTCCCTCAAGATCCTCCAATACAGCAAAGGTCTGCAAGTAGCTTCAGGAGTTGTTCTTTGAAGCAGCTTGTGTGCTGAAAGCTGTGGAGGCAGAGCTGCAATCAGTTCATTGTTGAAGAAGTAGCCATTTTGGAATCAATTTTTCAAATTGTGCCTTTCACTTCTTAACCATTTTTAAGGACTATTAATCTTTATTAAGCTAAAAGAGGCTCTCTTTAGCTATAGCCTATTATTCCTTTTTGAAGATCTGTGCCATTTTGGGGATTTCTTCTTGTTAAACAACAAGAAAGAAGGCAGCTAAAATAAGGAAATGTGGACTATCTTTTTTTTAAAAAATGATGGAGAAATATAAGAGCAGAAAGTTGTGGTTCTAGTTTATTATTTTTAGTAATTTGTAGCTTAGTCTGCTTTGCTGGGGGGGGACTAAAACTTTCTGATTTTTATGATTCCTGATTGGTCAGCAATTCTTAAGTGACTTACAAAAAAGCTATTCTTTAGCTAAAGAGAAGATGGAAGAGCAAATTATTAGAGATTTGAAAAATCTTTAAATAAAATCCATCAGTTCATAGAACAGCTATGCTCCAAGGATGTTAAAAAGACTATTCAAACTACTTCAAAGATGCAAATATGTGTAGAAAGTTACCAAACCACTGAGGCAATTTCACAAATAGCTGACAATGCAGACGAGTCAACTGTAATTTTGCAATATAAACCTGACACCAATTTTTATTATGATGCTTTAAATAGAAGCCTCCCAATATAATTGAAATAAGAGCTCCAAAAAAATTGCAACTTTTAATAGAATATGTTTGGGACTTTTTTCACATGAATATTCACAAGGTTGAGAAATCCTTGAGAAAAAAAGAAGCTGCAAGGAGTGACTTAAACGTAATGAGTCAATGGAATTAGGATGGATTTTCATCAGTTTGATATTTATAATTGAAAGAAAATCTTAATCTAAAGTTTGAAAATGTATTTTTCCTTTATATATAATGCTTAAGTAATTCCTAAAGTTAGTAAAATATAATACAAAGTATATTGGAAAATATCTATGTTAAGAGAAAAAGATGTATTAGCTTAAATAAAAATCTAGAGTTTTAAGAAGAAAGTATAAAAGAAGAAAATATTCTATGAGGATAAGATCTAAATTTAATGAGGTAATTGGAGTTAGCTGGAATTTGATTGGTATGAATGTGGATTTTAAAATATATTATACTAAGAGGAAGTTAAAAAAAGATGTATGAGAATGCTTTTGAAATGTTTTTAAAGGAAAGCTTAGTGTTTTAAAATAGATGAAAAAATATTTTCCCTTTAATCTGAAAAAATACAGTGAATTTTAATAATATAAATGGTGATAGTTTATAAAAAATTTTAAGTGCAAATAGAAATACATATTATTTCAACAAGATAAAGCAGTAATGGTTAAATTGATTGTCTATTCAAAGAGGAGTATATATTTATGTTTTTTATTTGGATATCACTTCTGGATTTTGTGCTTGTGTTAAAAATATGAAGTGCTGACTTAGATTTGTTGTTATAGAAATGGCTAATTATATACTAATACGTAAAAGTAAAAAGTTGAGGTTGTAATGTTGTTATCTTGTACTGTGCTAAAAAGTGTCAGAAGTCAATCTCTTTTTCTTTCTTTCCTTGTATCTCATACTTTCTTTCCTTCTTTTGTCGGAGTTTAAATCTGAGGGGAAAGTTGACAGGGACTAGGACAGCAGCTGTGGAGGAAAATGGGGAAGGGCAAAGTCAGGCTGGGCACAGCAGGGGAGAGGTAGAACAAGAGAGAGGGGGTTCAGATGAAGACCAAGGCCCACCCCTTCCTCATCCTAGGGCACCCAGGGAAGAACGCAGGAGAGAACAACGTGGGTTGCATGGCTTACGAGGAAGGAAAGGGCCCCAAATCCCTTTACAAGGCACACCTGGAGATGGAGTTTAAAGGAGAAGCAGTTGGGAGGGGCGTTTGTCAGGAACAAACACTGAATTCACCTCACACTCCTTCTGTTTTGTGAATTATTGACGTGCCTCTGCCTTGCTGGAATTATTGGGCTCATTATCTTGCCCTGCTGAAGTGGTTGATTGCAGTTATTCACTTACAGCGTTTGGCCTGGAATATCTGCAGCCAGAGGCTGTTGTAGGTTCATGGGAGAATTTTTCTCCAGGCCGGAGAGTAACCGGGATATTGGGGGCAAAGTTGGAGCAAATAAAGGGACTCATACTTATTTTCTGGCTGTGTTGCCTTCGTGCCATGCCCCGGGTCATCTCACCTTTCTTTTTTCTTTCCTTAATTTCCTATTTTTCTTTGTATTTTATACATTGATAAAATAAAATTTATAGAAAAAAATAAGAGGATTAGGGCAAGTTTAAATATGATGCAAATGTACATGCATACATAGATATTCATGTATGAGCAATAATAATAATAGACAAGATAAAACATACCAGTGTTGATGTAACTACAGAATAATCTTCTGCATTCAGTCTTCTAAACTATTAACTCACCTAGACCTGGAAGATATTTCTGTTTCTGCTTTTCTGTCCCATATGCATATATAGGATGCATCACCAAAGATGACTGAACACTCATGACTGACCGATAGCCACTGTCCACCCTCTCAATCTCCCTGGCCAGGAGTCCATATGCAACATAAGTGGTTCCTGCGCAGCCATAACCTAAGGCAAAAGAATGGAGAATCATAAACCCATCTGTGTCTAGAAATCAGCCTGTAACCCACTTAGGTACAATAACTCTCCTGGAAGATCCTACCTGGCAAATATTTAGAAAGAAACATGAAAATAAAGGGGATAATTTATTAATAATTTCGTAACAGTGACCTAATACTCCAAGAAGCCTCAAACATTTTATAATATATCTTACAGATACAAAGTAATTGTTACATCTTCAACAGTCCCTAATATGAACTAAAACCAAGTTTTACTAAGTCTCTAAAACTAGTAACCCTAGTATTTCAAATATGATAAATGATTGGTAATTTCTAAATCTGGATGTCAGCGTTCCAAGTAATGCACCCATTAAAAGCAGGACTCTGGGGCAGGTAGATTCCTCTAAGATCATGTTTATTGGATATATTGTATCAGCACAGCTGATGAAAACCAACTCTGAAGTTTTCCGTGGTTTTCACCTAATTAAAAGAATACCTCCCCTCTCCCCAGTGTCAACAGTCCAATGAATACGGCTGGCAGGCTCCTCTCATCCTCTCCTTTCACCAGCTACCTGTTTGGATGACCTTGGTTCCCACAGGAAAACTTTTTATTTTGACTGAAAGCTGGGCTATCTACTTCCCCCCTCCCCTTCTTTCTCAGGCATCGTAGCAACTGTGAGGCAGGACACGATGGCTTCAGCCACATTTGCCTCAGAGTTGACACTGGATTTTAAAATTTTGTATCCTACCTTATCATCTTATCTTAAGAAGGTCTTTCAAGCATTTCACAATTCATAACAGGGCATTTAAAAACAAAATCTAATGTTTAATTCTGCGAGATAACCCACAACCAGATAGGAGCACAACCAAATACATCATATTGTTACACTTCCATACATACTTTATTCTTTCATTCATTGATTTGTAACTATATTTCCTCTTATAGGACAAATAATGAGTCACTGACTGAATACAAATGCAAACTAGCAGAAACAAAGAACTGATCAGTCAAATAAAAGAAGTATACAAATACCTATGGTAGAAAGGTAGTGCCAATGATTTATCAAATACTTAAACTACAGCTGAAATAGAGACATGATATATTCTGAACTTTTCCTCCCAAGAAACATGAAAAAGTTATGAAAAATCCTCCCTTTCTGCTACAGATATGAGCTCACTCACTGTCATGAAAATGTTTGACAATACCTTTAATGGTTGGGCCCAAGACACCAAGGGTCCCCATCTCTGACACAATTTCCCGGTGAAAGACTACAACGAAAATAGGAGAAAACCTATTTTAATATGCATTAAAATATCTATATTTTGCAGAAGCCTGTTATGCAACATAGAGGCGTGTTATAATACTGATAAGTAACTTTGATAATGCCTGGAGCCCCGAAGTCAGCAATTACTGAATTTACATGAAAACCAGTATTTTAATAGCAATAGCACTTAGACTTATATACCACATCATAGTGCTTTACAGCCCTCTCCAAGCACTTTACAGAGTCAGCATATTGCCCCCAACAATCTGAATCCTCATTTTACCAACCTCGGAAGGATGGGAGGCTGAGTCAAACTTGAGCCAGTGAGAATTGAATTCCAGGCTGTGGGCAGAGTTAGCCTGCAATCCTGCATTATAGGGCACATGGTGGTTCAGAGGTTAAGACGCTGGGCTTGCCAGCTGAAAGCCAGTAGCCTGGGTTCAAGATCCAAGCCCCACATGATGTGAGCTCCTGTCCTTGCCCCAGCTCTTGCTAATCTAGCAATTTGAAAGCATGCAAGTGCAAATAGATAAATAGGTACCACTTCAATGCTCTGTGACATCATGCTAGACACATGGCCCTGGAGATGTCTTTGGACAGCGCTGGCTCAATGGCCAAGAAACGGAGCTAAGCACCACCCCTATAGTCAGTAACGACTAGTGAAGTAAAATCCACAGGAGCCCCTACCTTTACTGCATTCTAATCACTGCATCACCACATTTGAAATAATAAATATTTAACAACACATACACAATGTATATTCTTTCAAGGGAGTCTTGATTTCTAATTCTGGATTAGTTCATGCAACTTTCTTGACAACAATTTAGAAATGGTATGCCTTCACTGTCTTTCTAGGACTGAATATGAGAGAATAGCCCCAAAGCTTGCTTTATGCCTGAGGCAGGATAAAAATAAGGCAGGATCTCCTGGTGTCCTTCATCACTGCACCAAACTGGCTCTCCTTGATTTATATACACACATATTTTCATTTCTGACATTTCTAGATAGGTGTCATTATCACTTCTGAGAACTTTAGTATCTGAAAGGAAATTAAAATAAGTAGAGATACTACCACTCCCTTTTTAAAACTGATTCAAAACAATTTCCAAATTTTTCCACTGCCCCCCATTCTGCTCCCACAGGGCTGCTGAATAAGTAACTTAGCTATTTAATGTATTGGCATATTCAGCAAATGCCAAACAGGAGATTCCCTATTTCTAAAGGGAGAACATGTCATAATACATAAAGCAATAATAGACCATCTATTGCCCTACATAGGTTTTGAATTTCAATTCCCATCATCCTCAGCTCAGCCAGCAGTTCCAAGGGATTGTAGCCTCAAAGTATGAAGGACATCACATTGTTAATACAAAGTTACCTTCATTTCGATTGGCCATGAGGATCCTGGGCATCAATTTTTCTTGGCAATAGGCACGAAATGAGTCCCGCATCATTATTTCCTCTGGAGTAAGAAGCTTTTCCAATTGTAGGGCATCACGCCAGTCAAACTGCGCTTTTGGAACTGGAAGAAGAAAGCTAGAGCTAGCCTAAAGAACAAAAGGACTGATAAAGAAATTCCCCCATCAAGCACCGTATAAGGCCTGCTAAAATAATGGAAGTACACAGTCCAACAGTTCTCCCTATAGACCAGTGGTTCTCAACCTGTGGGTCACGACCCCTTTGGGGGTCGAATGACCCTTTCACAGGGGTCACCTAAGACCATCTGAAAACACATATTTTCAATGGTCTTAGGAACCAAGCCATAATTTTATGGTTGGGGGTCACCACAACATGAGGAACTGTATTAAAGGGTCGCAGCATAAGGAAGGTTGAGAACCACTGCTATAGATAGTAACATGAATGCCACTGAAAAGTTGTGTAGTTGGCAAGTGCAAATCTGTATAAATCTCTGCCTAGCAGTACAGATTTTTCTCACACAAACACCCCAAGATTATTGTCCACTTTAGTGTATACAAGCAAACTGCAGAACTGCAGTGATACAATTCATTTTTCTTGAAACTATGTTTTGTATTTGGAATCTTTGCTTCAAGGTGTAAAAAATATTTTCTTAAAGGATAGTATGCATGATTCCAAGAGCAACATATACTGAGGAAAACTCTTATAAGGGACAGGTTATTTTTATACATATTCACCGGTTTTTCAAGTGTTGACTTGTAGCCTTAATTATTCTATTTCACCTATCTGCTTTCATTTTGGAATATTTGAAAAGTGTGCTAGGCTGAGAGACAGCAGCTTCCCTAAAATTATCCAGTGATTCCCCTGGCAAGGAGGGAATGCAAATCCATGTGTTTCTAGTCCAAGTCCATGCCTTAACCATTATACTATATGGCTCTGAAATATACATGTCAAAGTTTACATTCTATATAATTTGTTATTTGTTGCCAGGGTGGTGGGACTTATTTCTGGGAACACATATATACAACAGTTTTATAAAATTATCAATTGTGTTAGTGGCAGTAATGGTTTGTATTTTATAGAACAGACTATCTGGAACCAATTTTTGAGGGAATAAAATCTTTTAGTTATCTAATCAAAATCTAATCTATGTCTATAGATGCATAGATCTCTGGAAACTCACATCCTTCCTCAGACCCACCAAACTAATGACAAGGAATTAACAGTGATTGTGTATCTTATACATCAGAGCAAATAGATGTTCAATTTTTCCCAATGGAAGGATATATGAACTAGGAGGAATGCTGTTTCAAGAGTGACTGGCGATTATAAGCTCAGATATGCAGCTCTAAATCACAATTGGCAAGAAATAATCTTTTTACCTTTTGATCCATTCACCAAAGGTTTTCCTTCTTTTTCTGTAACACAAGTGACAAAATAAGCCCATTTCTCAATCCAACTATCGTGCTCCTTCCCCATAAAATCCAAGAATACTAAATAGGTTTGTCTATCTCTTAGCCATGGCCCTACTATCTCTACCCTCACTTTGATAGGAAAAATCAGTCACTGACCTTTTGGCACAGGTGCACTAGTGCTCTGTGTTCGAGTATCACAGAAGTTTGCTATACTGCCTCTGCATTGCAGAAATAGCCTGTTAGGTAACCTTAGCGCCATGGAGGATAAATTCTGGAAAAGGTCAAACGAAGAAAACTGTAAGATCCTAAGTCACTGAAGTGTTCAACTAAGTGCAGTTGTCCTTCTTCTCCAGCAAAATGCTGGAATAGAAGAATGGTGATATCCAGAACTCAGTTCAGTCCTATTTATAACACAGAAGCAAGAATTTAATTAAAGCACCACATACTAAACAAACAGGGCATAGTTCCTAGGATTAAAGAAATAAAATGAGGGGAAAGAAATGGGAAAAGGTATTCAAGGGCCCTTTAAATTAGGAAAACAGAGAATATGCGAGGCCCACTTCCAGAAACCCGATCCAACTTTGCGAGAAGGGGTCTAGCGCTCCGTAGAGCAGAAAACACAACTCGGGGGGTTTCTTCTGTGGGAGGCGGCTGTTATTAGGGGGAAAAGAGAAGGGATTCGGTCGGAGATTTTCCTTCTCCTACCAGCAAGTGCTGGGAACGCCACTGATTTCAGGGTCAGCACTCCGCCCCGTAGTTTAAAGGAATACTGACCGAGATTGGAGCTGATCGAGGATTTGCTTCTTCACGGTTTGCTCCCAGCTTTTTCGCGGAAGATTGACAGGCCGGTAAGTGAGGCGACGTCCCCTCCCGGGTTCACCACAGCCCCTCCTTAGGCCAATGGACTTCGCTTGCCCTTCCTTCCTAGCCGCGCATGGCGGCGCGCTCCTCTCCCATTGGCCAAGCGGAGGAGGCGTGTGGCCACGACGCAGGCGACGGGGGCGGGGTGAATTGGGCGGCCGGGGAAAGGAGCGCGGGGGGGGGGGGGGGGGAGTGAGTAAGTCCCGAAGCGGCTCGGGCGGCAAATGCTCGGTTTCTGCTGTTCCTTGGCAGTTTTTTCCCCCCCACTCAGTTTTGTATTGCTGTTTCTTATTTTGCTTGTTTGCCTCATTTAACACATATATGACACTTTTCAAACGTTTCAAAAATTGCACTTTTTCTCGCTGAGCACCAATCCTGGTAAGAGCTATGCAGCTTAAAGGGGTGTTTCTTTGCATAGTGTGGAGGTCTTGGTTTACAGACCTCCAAACTATGGGTTTATGTGTGTGCTTTTGGGTCATTATTGACTGTAGCGATTGCCAGGACTGGTTGCTGCAATTTTCTTGGCTTGGACGTTGTTTGCCCTTGCCTGCTGTCTAGGGCTTAGGAGAACGAACATAACTGGCCCCAAAATCAGGCTTGGCTTCGTGCCTCAAGCAGAACTACAACTCTGAGTTGTTATTTTTTCCCTAACTTTTCTATCCATGTTAAACCTCTTTCCTTAGATTATTAGAAAATCATTTAAAAGAGTCCATCTGTTGCTAATTGTTCGTTCCATTGTCTTCATCTTAATTTCTTTATTGGGTATTAATAAATCTTCAAATGTTAACATTTTAAAATAACAGAGTTGGAGGTCTTCTGATCCAACCACCTAGTCATGCAGGAGCCTTTATATCATTCTGGAAAAATGGCTGTCCAAACTCTTAAATTTTTTTGTGTAGATGCATCCACAACTTCTAAAAAAAAGCTGTTCCCTTGATTAATTGTTCTAGCTGTCAGGAAATTTCTTGTTAGTTTGTAGGTTGAATCTGTCTTTGGTTAGTTTCCATACTTCTTGTCTTGCTTTGGAGAATAGGTTGCCACTCTCTTCTTTATGACAGACCCTCAATAATTGGAAGACTGCTATTATGTCATCCCTAGTCCTTCTGTTAGTTAGACTAACATACCCAGATTCTGCAACCATTCTTCATATGTTTTAATCTCTAGAGCCTCCATATCTTTTTTGTACTATGGTAACTAAAATCTGGTCAAGTCTGGTCATGCTAAAGAGTATAAGCACATTTCATTCTTTATGAATGAAATAACCCAAATAACTCATACTCTTGGGTAAAAAGTTTTTTGTGCAATGATCATTTTGGGCCAAATCCAGACTTACATTTGATCTTAATGTAACCTCTTAATGACATATTTTTCAGGTAATGATTTTTAAAATCTAAATTTCTTTCTCACAGTCTGGCAAGTCAACATATCCAAAGAGGGAAAGTATCAATGAATGAAGGCAAATATATTTGTTCCAGGCTAATAATACACTCTGCAAGAGAGAAGTTTCCTGAGGATGGGCTCTAGCATGAGTCCAAAAGCTTGGAAGACTTAACCTCTGGTCCTGGTGACCAACCCAGATTGGATCCTGCAAAAATATCAGTGTTATATAGCGGTGGCTCATGTGGTAAGATGCTTGGTTTGCGCACTGCTGAGGTTGGCAGCTCAGCGGTTCAATTCCCATGAGTGAATAAACCATGCATGGAAAAAGAAAGGAACCTCCCCAAATGTCTACCAGCATTCAGGCGTTTTGTGGGTAAAGAAAACATCACCCCCCCAAAATTCCTTTCACAGAGGCAGGCAGCCACTTCGGTGACCCCTGGCTAACACGTGCCATATGCTAAATAAATAAATAATCCGTGTTATACATTCAACTTGTATAAAATAAACACTTCTCTTCATCCCCAATTTGAGCTTTTAATATCATGGTAGAGCACAATATTTTAGCAGCTGCAGCTTATCTCTTTATAAAAGAACAACAGTTGGATTCTGCATGTCACTTGTTCATTTATTTTATCCCTTGAAAATAATTAAAGACACAGAATCTAACCCAAGTGTGCATGTTTGAAGTTAGGGGCTTTTATCCATCCTTATATAATTGCATAAAATGCAGAGTTTACTTACCCTTGCTTTAACCATAGTTTACTCAATTCCTGTATGTTTCTGCATTCATACTAAATCATAAATGAATCCCATTCATTTGCTACCCTAAGCCAGCCCTACCATAAGATTTTTATTCCTGTCTCTGATTGATTTTCCTTCTCAATCCCATTAGGAAGGGCCAATGTAACCTTTTTTTCAAAGTGTCTCTCCTCTCAGTGGCAAGACAGTGTTAGCCCTCAGTACTATATCAGAACAGAGCCTGCTGCCAGACCCCTCTGAGACCTCCTGATACAAACCCAAGGCAAGCTGTTAATCTGTATTTATGCTTTTCCCCAGCTGAAAGCTGCCCGCTCTTTTGGCTGTCCTGTCCTTGCACAGCAGAGTTGCAATCCAAAATATCAGCCCGAGGCTAGTGTGGCTGAGGGAGGCGAGATGAAGGTAGAGTCCACAGTCTTAACTCCTCCACACACTTCTGGAGGACTCCTCCATTTGCTTCTGCCATCATTAGAGTCAGCTATGTCAGAAGAACTGAGGGCTTTCTTCCAAGTGCATGCTTAGTCATGAAGCCATTATCTCTCAGTTTCCATTCCCCTTATGCAAGCACGGATTAGGATCATATATCTTATCCTGAGAATTGCTCTCCATGTACAAGTGAAATCAACTCTTTTAAAAAGCCTTTAACATAGGAAAAGTAGTAAAGCACACAAGAACAGTAAATGGCCACCATAGCTGGGGGCCATAGATTTATAATCCAATAGCTAGTTTTATTAACTGTCTAAGTGCTGGGGTTTCTTGAAAACTCAATATGGCAGGTGACTTGCAATTTATCTAGAAAAATGACTAAAATGGGGAGGTAGGAAGCACTTTTGGGGGCTTAAAAGAGAACTAGTGGGAAACAACTTGCTAGTCAGCTTCAAGAGAAATAGGTGTTTTGTGATTATGATATATACCATTGTAGAGATTTTGCAAATAAAACTCCCCCTCTCCCCCCCACGCCAGTAGCCTTTTTTCTGACAGTGTGCACAATATGAGCCATGAAGGTTCATTTCCCTTATAATCAATGGAGTATGTATTTTTATTTCTTATACATTACTTTATTGCCTTCTATATTGTGAATGTTGCTCCAAGGTTTCCTTTCAGTCATGATCTTAGCCTGATGGTATTTTAAGCTAGAGAGTGTAGAAAAATTCTTTCAAAGCTCAGAAAGCCAGACTACTATAAATCTGCATGTGTAAAACTGGTGATTCACTCACTCCCTGTTAGATCTGCAGATAGTTTTCTTAGAGACATCCCAAAGCTCTCACTTTATTTACCAAGGCATTTCTATAACTAGAGCCCGTGGAAGTTAGTGAGGCATTCTAGGTGTATATTTTAAAAATTGCATTATGTATTGCACAAAGTCTTAAAGGACTTTCAGATGCAAACATATAATCTTTATTGAAATATAATCCAACTAAATTTAATGCAATTTACTTCTGAGTAGGTAATTATGACTGCAGGCTAATCCCTGATGGGTTTTAAATTGCAGTTTTGGGGTGCTAAATAATCTCCTCCCCCAAATAAAATGGCTACGGAAAAAATATTTTTACTAATAACCTTAAATGCTGAAAGCATCTATAAAACTGCAAAATATATGCCTTCCTTTGATTCTTAAATTTGTAAAATACATAACAATATAATATATATTATAGTTTGATCTTTTTTTTTAACTTCAACAACAGTCCAGATTAGAACTATTTGGTCCACATTATTTCTTCCAGGGGTAATATATACTTCTATATTCTAAATAAACTAAATACATATAAATAACACACATATATACACACATATATGTAAATACACTCACACATACATACACTACACACATATAGTACACACACACACATATATATATATATGTATATAATATAAACAAAAGTTGACAATTGACTGAACTGAATTCATCCTTATCTCTTATTTAAAAAAGTAACTACTAAACCTGCTGCAAACAAGTTGATTGTGGTTAATCCTAATCCAGCTGCAGCTTGTTCCTTCACTAGTCACACCCCCTTCTTTTGATTGGTTTAGGTAGCTTCATTTAATCTTGTCTTGTTGAAACTGAGGAAGGAAAGAATTAAAAGAAGAAAAATATTGATGGTAACACCTAAAAGTAGAAAGGTTTGTTCTTAAAGATGGAAAGAAAGGGGTGATGTTTGGGTGGGGATTGTGTTTATATGAGAGAGTAACAGGAAACTTTTACACCTAAGAAGTGTGTAGCTAGGTATAAGCAAAGATTTGAGAGGTGGAATGCTACCTTATTAATTTCTCCTTCTTTTCTTTCAGGGATATAGCTTTTTAATAAGCCATGGCTTTCGTGGAGGCTGTGTTACCCCCAGCTGGTATCCTGGGCAGTGTTAACAACTTCCAGGATATACAATCTGAAGGTTTCCAGGTGAGAAGTTGTGGGGGATGCTGGCTGGCTGAATGTGTCCTCTGGTAAGAATTAAAAATGTCTGAAGGGAGGGAAGGTTCTAATAAATATAAGCTCCCAGCTGGACCAAGGCTGTTTCTTACAAAATCAGGGTTCCTTTGCAGAAAGATGTGGCAAGGTATTGTATATAAACCTTTGCATTTTAGGAGTTCCCCAAGTCAGATGGTGGAAAGAGAGTCTGAGGCATTCTTGGTCTTACCCCATTATAAAGAAAGTAGAACAGAATGTTTGGGGCACCTTTCTAAAGGGAAAACAGGACATTATGCTAATTATGGTACATAAATAGAAGTTGGTGATTTTGGAGCGCTTGTGCTTGTTTAAGCTTAAATGCAAAAAATGTGTAGAATGTTTGCATGTTTGGAACATATTTCATGTCTGTTTGGGAGAGATAATGTCATGTAGTTTTAGGGTGTTTTTCCCACCTTAAATTAAGAGATGTGTATGTAGATAAGACCCACACAAATAACTAGAGCTAAAGTCTAATCAGTGGGTCAAATCAGTGGATATA